TTTAATTTTGGTTTAATAATTCTCTTCATGTCTCTTCAGTAGAAGAGATTGGTATTCACTCTAGTAGCGAAAGTTTTACTTGACACTGCTGGCATCGTTATTGTAAAATTTTGTTTTATTCTTTTATAAAAGGAAGAGCAGTAGAGAGAGAGAATTACCGTTTTTTAAATTGTGCAAATTGTGCTTGCATAAATAATATCTAAACATTTTTTTTCAGTTGGTTAGTCGATTTGTTTTAGTTTCTTTTATTCTGAGAGCAAAATATACTTTGCTGTGCTTTTGACTTTTTTGAGAGCACGATTTTTTCTCTGTTTTTATTACAATTTTTTGTTTGCTTGAGAAAAATTTTGTAAACAAATTATTTTCATATTATAATAATTTTTGTTTTCCCTTTAAATATGAAGTATATTACTTTAAGATCCGCATGTTATGAATTAATAAATAAGCTCCTGTAGCAAAAAGTCGTGAAGAAAAATGAATTTGGGCTCTTTTAGCTCCTGATATCGAAATAAAAAATATAATCTCATCTTCCAAAGTTTAATATTCAAGCAATTCTTAATAATAAAGTGACATCTCGAATTTGATTAAGTAAAAGATTTAAAAGATCTCACATTTACAAAATAAATAACTCAACAAAAGATACTAAGCCTAATCGATCCATAATAAAATTCTAATTAAATCAGGACTAATAATCAGCATCATTATTGAACATACAAATATACGAACATAATAAAACGGTAAATTTTTTAATCTTTTATTATATAATATTTTCCATAATAAATTACTAAAGAAGGATTTATTAACACAAAAGATAGAAGCATGAAACTTCTTGACTATACAAACTCAGTTCCAATCCACATACTTTCAACTTGCACGAATTATGATCATTTGGTTTGCGACAAAAATAAACCTTCTACAAAACTATGGAATAATTCTTTATGCAATAGCGAGACTGATTGGGTACTGTCGCTTTTCTTTTTGCACCATTTCTCTTACCGATGAAGGCGTAGATGCCACAGTTTTATAAATCATTTAAAATTATTTAATTAGTCTTGACCGCGCAACGTAATAATAACGTAATAATTGCATATAAGTTAGCTTAAGTTAGTTACTAGTTGCCTCTTTCTCGTTTATGACTTTTTGAGCGTTTATTGTCCTCTCTTTTTCTTTTATATCTAAATGAGGTGAATTAAGGTGACCAGATAACTTATTTCTAATATTGGGACGACATATCTGTATGGCGGACATTTTAAATGCCATAAACACCATAAAAGAAAAACAGTCAAACTAAGAATTAAATTGAGTGATGCAAGTTACATAATAAATTTAATTATTGCGTTATTGTTAAAAAGTGTTCATTAAAACGGACGGAGGCTAAATATTTGAATATATATTGAAAATTTTGTCTTTGAAGATTTGACATAAGTCAGGTATGGTTAAGATCAGATGTTTTCAGGCGTTATCATGTGTTGGCAGTGTCGTTTTTGTTTGTTTTGTTTGTGATTTAATTGACGTTCTCTGCTTCGGTTTACTTCTTTCTCTTTCAGTTCAGCAACTTCAGTCTCTTTCAGTTATTGTTGATGCACGGACGGTTATTTATTATTGCTAGAGTAAGGCGCGTAGAGCGATCGGGACGGAAAAGAGTAAGAAACTTGTTGCCGGGAGAACAACAAAAATTCTCTTCAAATAAAGTATTACAAAAAGTAAAAAATTATTTGAAAGTAAATTTTTAACGCTAAACTAAATGCTAGGTTAAATGAGTTTAGAAAAAGAATTAATTTAAATAAAGTGGATATAAAAGAAAAAGAATTTTTGTATTCATATTTTTTATGACTTTAATGAAAAATACACACGAAAAGTTAGCTGACTGAAACTGCAATAAGCAATTGCAATAATGTATAAAATAAAGTGCGCAACATACGCAAACACACATACATGCACAGATAGATATATTGAGGCATAACTTAGAGTTCATCGGTAACAAATGAGTGTTGAGTTTGTGTGCAGCGTGTACAACGTATACAATAACAAGAGCGTTTACTTGGAATAACCACTATTTTTGCCTGGATTTACCTGTTTATAGTAAAATCAACAATAGAATAGATGCTTAATAAAAGACAGCAGGCAATAAACACGCGTGTAAAAAGTAGAAAAAATAAATGAGCAAAAAGAATAAAATCGGAAATT